CGGGCATAGTGGCTCACGCCTGCAATCCCAGCACTTTGGGAGGCCAGGGCAGGCAGATCGCCTGAGGTCAGGAGTTTGAGACCAATCTGGCCAACATGGTGAAACCCTGTCTCTACTAAAAATACAAAAATTAGCCAGGTGTGATGGTGATCTGTGGTGATCTGGTGCCTGTGATCCCAGCTACTCAGGAGGCTGAGGCAGGAGAATCTCTCGAATCCCAGAGGTGGAGGTCGCAGTGAGCGGAGATTGTGCCATTGCACTCCAGCCTGGTGACAGAGTGAGACTCTGTCTCAAGAAAAAAGAAAGAAAGAAATGCAGCGTGGGTGGTGCTGTGTGCCTGTAGCCCCAGCTACTCGGTAGCCTTAGGTGGGAGGACTACTTGAGGCCAGGAGCTTGCAGCTGTAGTGTGCTACAATCCCGTCTGTGAATAACTACTGCACTCCAGCCTGGGCAACATAGCGAGACCTCCAAAAAAAAAAGAAGAAAGAAAGATGGACAGAAGGATAGATAGATGGATAGTATGTTGTTGGGGAAAAGCTAAATGACTAACAGTACCTAGTAACTGTTCACATTCCTTGTTATAATCATAAAAACCAAATAATAAGAAATTAGAAAACTTCCATTGGAACAGTAACTACCTGAAATACACTGTCACGTGAATTACCAGGTTATTGCTCCACTGAACTATTCGTTTGTGATGAGGAGGTGATACCAGCACTGAGCCTGGCAGGATGAATAAGAGCTTTGTAGGTGAACGAGACCAGCGAAGGAGCCTTTCCCACAGAGGAAAGAGTATGTGGGCACGCGTGATTTAGTCAAGGATTGCAGGCATCCCAGGGTGGCTGGGGCTTGCGGTATTGAGGTTGAGTTGATGCAAAAGTCACAGACCCGGGTCTGAATTGTGGCTCTAACATTCTCTAGCTATATGGCCTAAACCTATGTGAGCCTCCATTGACCAAGTGTGAAATGGGGATGACAACATTTACCTGCTAGGATTTTTGTGGGAATTATACGTAAAGCACCTGGTACAGCCATGTTCCAAGGTGAGCACTGGATAAGCGTGAGCTGTCACAGTGAGGAGCCCGGACAGAATCTGGGAGCCATTATGCAGACCTCGAACAGCACTGAGTTGACCTTTGAATTGGCCTCTTGTCAGGAATCCGTGTCATTTCATTCTTCAGCTGTACAGGTTCTCAGGGAAACCAAGTAGTCGAGATGGGGAGATGTATTTTCATTGTTTTTCCACTGTGGCCACTAAGCCGCTGTCATCACCCATGGTTCCGGCCAACAGTCTACCCTGGACTCTGAGTGCTCTTTTCCCCCTGGACATCCCGGGGTCCACGCGCTGCAGCTCCCAGGGTTGGGAGAAGGGACGAAAGCTCCTCCTTCACTGTATTTCCTTCAACACCAGCTCGCTGTTTGCACAGAAGAACTCCACTTTCCCTTTGATTAATGCACCACTTTGTCTCACTATAGAAAGTGTCTGTCCCCCTCCAGCCGGGGAGTGTTCTCCCACGGGCCTTGGAGGACTTGGAGGTGGGGGTCCCCCGCCCACAGAATTGGAGTCCAAAACATTCCCTCACACTGACAAAGCCTTTCATCACACACTATCTCATTCAGCCTTGACACAACCCTGTGAGGTCAGCAAGGCAAGTGTCGTCCTCCACGGCCACCACCAGAGTGAAGGAGCCAGACTTGGGCCCAGGTCTCCTTCCCCAGCCCAGGGTCCCTTCCTCTACACAGATGCCACCTGCTCCTTCGTGTCGAGAAGGGCGGTGGCAGGTGGTCGCTCCCTCGGAAGTGACCAGCGGGAACAAACTCATGATGCTGAAGGGAAATTAGACGCTACTGCGTTAGGCGGCTGAGTGCCCGTCGGCAGAGGTTATGTGGGTCTCTCCTATAGAAAGGTGACACCGAGGACCCAGCCCCAGCCACCACCAGCATGCAAGGGCGAGGTGTCACCTCCCAATGGGGGCAGGTTTGCATTCGTTAAGACCCGTGGCCAGATGCAGCCCGTGGGCATGGAACAGGACAAGGGGAACTGCCCTCTGCTGGCCCTACCAGGCCGATGCCGACCACATGGGGAAGCCAGTTGGCTTATTGGTGGCCCTGAGGAAAGGAGGGCTGAGCAGGGAGGTGCTCAAGACCGGCTCCTCACACTGGCTGTCTGGAGTCGCTGTGGGAAGGGCCCAAGGGAAGAAGGGTTGCTGTGGCCCCAAATCCCCCTCCAGGTGGAGGCAGAGCCTCATGCATTCCCAGAGCGTCCCTTGTCACAAGCCCCAGTAGAGCCCAGGCTGACCAGGAGTGTGAGGCTCGGGTGGGAACCAGAGATCTGCGTTTAACCAGTGCTGGGAACCATGGCACTGCCTTCCCCGAGCCACCGTGCGCCTCTCATTTCACCTCTCTGGCCTGCATATTCTTTTAGCAAACTTGGGGATTGTACTACACATTCTGCTTTACACTTTCCATTCCTTGATATTATTTTATTATGAACATCTTTCTGCATCAATCAATATATTGCTACCAAAGCATTTTTTTATCACACCACGTCATTCCTGTCGTGTAGTTTCATCATAAGTGATTCAGCCAGTGCTCCCATTATTGGACTTTCCATGGTTTCCACTTTGTTATTATTATTACTAATGTTACAATGAATACTCCTTTTAAAATATTTTTATGTACATTGTATTTCCTTAGGATAAATTCCTAGACATTGAATCAAAGAGAATCCACACTTTCAAGGTCTTTGATAAATTGTGCTAAATTGTCCTTCAGAAAAAGCATGCCAATTTTCTGTTCTACCTGCAGGGTGTGAGACAATTCTTGGGGGGAAAAAATTCAAAACCTTTGTATTGCCTATATTTTAACAAATTCATTATTAAGAGAAAGCTAGAGAAGCAAATCACAAGCTGTAATTCACACATCACAATTCTAAATGTTTGCTGTTCCAGTCCTCAATTTCAGGTTCTTGTTAATGCATCCACCATTTGAATACTCACTTTTTCAAAATACAGGAATATATTAATTTACCAAAGATCCCAATTGTTTTTTTTCTTTTTTATTTTTTGAGATGGACTCCTACTTCGTTGCCCAGGCTGCAGTGCAATGGCAGGGTCTCGGCTCACGGAAACCTCCGCCTCCCCGGTTCAAGTGATTCTCTTGGCTCAGCCTCCCGAGTAGCTGGAATTACAGGTGCCTGCCGCTATGCCCGGCTAATTTTTGTATTTTCAGTAGAGACGGGGTTTCACCATGTTGGCCAGGCTGATCTCAAACTCCTGACCTCAGGTGATCCACCCACCTCGGCCTCCCAAAGTGCTGGGATTACAAGCGTGAGCCACCGCGCCCAGCCACCTGGCTAATTTTTGTATTTTTAGTAGACACGGGGTTTCTCTGTGTTGGCCAGGCTGGTCTCGAACCCCTGATCTCAGGTGATCCACCCACCTCGGACTCCCAAAGTGCTGGGATTACAGGTGTGAGCTACTGTGCCCAGCCTGCATTTCCATTTTTAACATGACAAATGTTTCCTAAGCACCTTTATGAGAAGAGTGTTTGAAAAAGATACGTTGGTAATTCCTGGAAATATGGGGACAAAGATTACCATAATTTTACCTCTGTTTTCAGGAACATTTATTTCATTTTCCTTGTTTCTAAATGTGAGTACTTTAAAACTTACAGAAAAGTTTACAAGAAAGTACAATGCTAAATTTACCGAGTAGTAATATTTTGCTTTACCATCTCTATTGAGCCATTTGAAGGTAGGTTACATAAATTACGGACACCATGAAAGTGCCCTGTCAGTGCTTCAGCCTCCCAAAGTGCTGGCATTACAGGCTTGAGCCACCGCACCTGGTCGCAAAGAAACATAATTTCTAAAACAAAGGAGACTCTTTGCAGCGGCTGCAGGTTCTTCTTCCTCACTGTCAGTGTTCTCTTGTTGCAGAATACAACCTCCATTCATGTTGTTTTTATGAATGAATCTTTTTACCACTTTCTTGCTATGACCAGGTCTGGAGGCTGAAAACCATGTTGCCTAAAAAGCAACACCCCATCTTCACAGACAAGGTTGGTTCTGGAGTAGACTCACAGCATTCCATAACTAGTTAGAATGCAGCAGCGTTCCACATGGGCCAAACCTTGTCAAGACAGGAGCCACAGGCAACTCAGGGTCCCGGAACACTCAGCAGCTGGCAGCCCCTCGGGAAGCTGCTGGGCTTTCCACCCGTTCCGGGATGCTGGGCACGTGCTGGCTTAGATGCCCTCTTACAGCTGCAGGCGCTGTGGCGTGGCCCTCAGCCCTGAGGATGTGTGGGGGGAGAGGAAGCAAGTCCTGTACTCGCAGGGGAGAGTCATGGGATTTCGCAGGGAGATACGGCAAAGCCGATTGTTTACCTTGGACTCTGCAGTGCTGTGGCTCTGAGGAAGCTCTCTGCAGCTACACACTCTAGGAAGAGGGTTTCTCAACCTCAGTGGTCAGTATTTTGAAAGCCTTTTATTTCTTTACAGTCATCACATCTAATTTAGCACTGGGTCATGGCCATTCTCACATGATTGTATCAGGCAAGGTCCAACCAGGAAACAGAAACTGCCCAGATTATTTAAAACAGAGGACATTGAATGCAAGAAAGTGGCAACACATGATGGAAGAGGTGAGAAGGCGAATCAGCAAATACCCAGTCAACACAGCGACGAGCAGCTTCAGGAAGCTTCTTATCCTCACCCTAACTCGGTAGGGTGAGGATGAGAGGAGGAGGTAGGCCAGGCACCGCGGCTCACACCTGCAATCTCAGCACTTTGGGAGGTCAAGGCTGGTGGATCACCTGAGGTCAGGAGTTCAAGACCAGCCTGGCCATCATGGTGAAACCTCATCTCTACTGAAAATACAAAAATTAGCCGGGCGTGTTGGCGGCGCCTGTAATCCCAGCTACTCGGGAGGCTGAGGCAGGAGAATGGCTTGAACCCCGGAGGCGGAGGTTGCAGTGAGGCGGGATTGCAACATTGTACTCCAACCTGGGCAACAAGAACAAAACTCTGTCTCAAAAACACAAAACAAAAAACAAAAAGAGGAGGAGGTGGTGTCACCAGAGCCTGGGGTCAGCGGAAGAAACTCTAGGATGTCTCTGTCCAAGGCAGGGAGGAAGGGAGAGAAATACTCTGGATTCTTTCTGCCCTCTGCTCTCTGACCTCCAGGAGTGGCTTCCGTTGACTAAACCGCTGGAGGCCAGGTGACAGCAGCGTTCGAGATTCAGAGCCTTCAGAAGTCAGAGCCCTGCCACACCGAGGGCAGCAGGGAAGGGGAAGGCATGGCTCTGGGGACAAACTGCTGTGAGCCAGCACAGTCGTCTGTGCCCAAAGTTAGCCTTGCTCTGCAATTTATGAATGTAGTTTTTGATTGAACCTTCCTGCATACCTTTTACACATCTGGTTGGTGTAATTCATCCTTCCAGCCACATTACTCAGGCCTTTATTTTAGACTTTGTGGAGCTGCTGAATTACCGTGGAGATTACACAGGAACAACCAGCACTCAGTCAAGTCACTGGTGTTTGAAACTCACAAGTCGTAATTAATAATTGTGTTATTACCTTTACAGCTACGAAGCCCTTTCACATACATGAGACTGGTTTATTCTCATGCAACTCTGGAATAGTTATCGTTATTCCCATTTTGTAGATGGATTCTCCGAGTCTTGGAGACTTTGAATTCCTGAAGGACAAATAACAAACAACAGAGGTGGAATTCAAACTCCAGTCTGCTTGGTTCCAAATTCCCTGATCTTCCCATGATATCCTGCTGCTTCCTGCCAGAAGGAGCTACCCAGGGCCACAGCGAGAGTTTTTCTGGGCCAGTTGGCTGAGTTTAGGAGGAAGGAGAGGATATGTTTTAAACTTGCAAAATTCTAGATGACCCATAAATTAAAATGCCGTTGCTGAGTGTGACGCGAGGCCTGTCTTGCCTTCCAGTCTGAAGGTTACCTCCTCACTGAAGGACCTGCACTCTTGCCCTTACACATCTAGATTCAGTTCTTCAATATACAGGGCTGGCTGTTCTAGAAAGATCGGAGTCACAGCAGTGGGTGCCACCCCACACCTGACAGAGGCAGGCAGGGAGGAAGGGAGGGTTCTTACCTCCCATCTCCCTCAATAAAATTCAGGATGCCCAGTGAAATTTGAATGTCAGATAGGCAATTTGTTGGTATAAGGATGTATCTAGCATTGAAATGATGCCTTGTAATTTACTAAATCTGAAACTATGCAACCTCATCTCATGGTGGGCAGTGATGTGATCCCAGGTTTCAGGGGCGTGGGGGCGGGGAAGGGTGCTGGGGGATTCTGAGGTCAGGAACCCATACAGCTCTACTTTTGCCCTCTCTCCCCTGTGCCGGCCACAGGGTAGTGATTCCTGTGTGGGTGCAGAGGCAGAAGTGGGTCTGGAAGGGGATTCCCAGTGTCTGGCAAGTTCTGGTGAATTCCGCATTGGAGGTTCTCTCTGTAGTAAGGGGAGTTGGCCTGGCCTGAAGTGAAAGCTGGCTTACCGGGTTTCATTTAGCTCTTCAGTTAGTCTGTTTGCACTGGTGGGCATTCAAATCTGATCAAGAAGGTAAAATGAGCCTTCAGGATCCCTAAATACATGTGAAGAAAGGAAAGAGGAGGCCCCTGAGTGGCTGGAGCGAGCAGGTGGGATGAGCTGGTGCCGCTGGCCCAGGAGAAGATGGGAGGGCAGACACTGGGCCTCAGGTGGGTGTCAAGGGAAGGGGACAGACGGAATGCTGGGGCCGGCTCTTGCTGCTGGGTCTGCAGAATGCAGAGCTGGGGGCACGCACCAGGCGTCAGGTCCCCAGCAGGGCAGCAGTGAGTGCAGCCTCACTGCTGGGAGCATCTGCCCTGCTCACTCATCGGAGCTCGGGGAGCTCGGGGGCTGCTCTCAGCCCTGCCGCTAAGGCCATCCACAACCTCCAGTGGTGTCTCTGAGCCTTTGTTCACCTGGCACATGGGATGAGTATACTGCATTTCCTTTTTGGCTCCTCTTAGTTCTGAATCTCTGCTGGTGTGTGTATGCCTTCAAGCCGCCTCATTACCGCTGTTCTGCGTGCACCGGCCAGACAAGAGGGCTGGCAACCTCGTTTCGTTAACCGTCTTTATTCTATCCAAAGTTTTCTTCTTCATTTTCCCCTCCATTTTTCCCCCTGTCCAGGCAAAACATCAAACCTCTTTTTCCAAAGGGTCATAGTGAAATGAGTTAACCGAAGAGGTCCGCCTCACATCAGCAGCTGAGTAGTAACTCTGTGGGACAGGGGCTCCAATCCGTTTCCAGTCTCAGTCCACTCTCCGATTGTTCATTCACTCACTCAGCAAGGACTTACTGAGCTCACAGGATGCATCAGGCCGATCGGAGCTGGAGGCAGGAACGCTTCAGCAGAATTACGAAATGTGGGAAACTCCAGGTGACTGGAGGCCTGGTTACTCAAGCCTTATGCTTCTCCCTTCTGTGCAGGACTCAGTGAAGTTTAGTGTTCAGCCACCCGTCCATCAAAGGGTAGAGGCAAAATGAAATTGAGTCCTTGTCAACAGTTTCAGTGAAAGGCTGGAAGTCTTGGCTACATGGAGGTATTTGAGTAACCCGTGGGCTGCACCTCTGTGGAGCTGTGAGCTCCGTCGAGCTCCAAGACCACATAGAACTGGAACTGGCTCCTTCTCCCGAGAATACAAACAGCCCCCCGGGATGTCCTTCTCTGACTTGCTTCTTCCCTGCTCTCCGTCCACAGGGCTGCCCTTGAGATGGAGTTGCTGCCCCTTTGGCTCTGCCTGGGTTTTCACTTCTTGACAGTGGACTGGAGGGACAGAAGTGTAATGGCCACAGCAGCTTCCCAACGGGGCTGTAAGTTGGTGAGTTTTCCCTTGAACCCTGATCTGTCAGTTGCTCCTGTCCTGGCAAAGCTTGGTCCATTCAGAAAAAGCTGACGGATTGTCCATCAGGAAGGGCAGAGAATGAAGGAGCCTGAATCACTCTGTGCCTGCCTAGCACAGTGCCATGTGCAGCTGCCCTTTAACCACAGGAGTTTAAGCTGCTGCCTGGGAGATAGTCCCTGCCCCACCCTTCTCACACCTGCTGAGGATAGGAGGCATCCGAGACCAGCCTAGGGCAGCCTTCCAGAACAAGAACAACTTGTTAAAAATCTGGATGATTCAGGTCGGGCGCGGTGGCTCACGCCTGTAATCCCAGCATTTTGGGAGGCTGAGGCAGGCAGATCACTTGAGCCCAGGAGTTCAAGACCAGTCTGGGCAACATGGCGGAACCACATCTCTACAAAATACAAGAATCAGTCAGGTGTGGTGGCACACGCCTCTAGTCCCAGCTACTTGGGAGGCTGAGATATGAGGATGGCTTGAGCCCGGGAAGTGGAGGTTGCAGTGAGCTGAGATCATGCCTCTGCACTCCAACCTAGGTGATGGAGCAAGACCTTGTCTTTAAAAAAAGAAAAGAAAAGAAAAATTCTGGGCGCGGTGGCTCATGCCTGTCATCCCAGCACTTTGGGAGGCCAAGGCGAGTGGATCACCTGAGGTCAGGAGTTTGAGACCTGCCTGGCCAACATGATGAAACCCTGTCTCTACTAAATTAGCTGGGCGTGGTGGTGCATGCCTGTAATCCCAGCTACTCAGGCGGCTGAGGCAGAGAATCGCTTGAACCCAGGAGGCGGAGGTTGCCATGAGCCGAGATCACACCACTGCACTCCATCCTGGGTGACAGAGTGAGACTCTGTCTCAAAAAAAGAAAAAAACAAAATAAAACAAAAAACTGAATGATTGAGCTGCACTGATGGTATGAGAATCTCTGGGTGAGGTGCATGAAGGCTGGAGAAGCCCGCCTCAGAGTTTGCGGACGGGTTGACAGCTAAGGCTTACATAGCTGTAGGGAGGGTTTGCTGCCATGTCGTACTGCAGAGCAGCAGCCTGGACCATGCTCGGGCTAAGAAGACCCAGAGAGTGGACACCCAAGCCTTTACGGGTGCCTTCTCTAGGGCTTTCAGCCTATATGTGAAAATAGACTTGGGTCAAAACTGAGAAATTTCTAGTAATTGTCCCCTTCACCTATATAACAATGATATCAAAAGTCTGCTCGAGAAACACATATTTAGGCCAGGTGCGGTGGCTCACGTGCCGAGGTGGGCAGATCACGAGGTCAAGAGGGCAAGACCAGCCTGGCCAACACAGTAAAACCCCGTCTCTACTAAAAATACAAAAATTACCCAGGTATGGTGGCACGTGCGTATAGTCCCAGCTGCTTGGGAGGCTGAGGAAGATCGCTTGAACCTGGGAGGCAGAGGTTACAGTGAGCTGACATCACACCACTGCACTCCAGCCTGGGTGACACAGTGATACTCCGTCTCAAAAAAAGAAAGAAAGAAAGAAACACATATTTCTTTTTTTTTTTTTTTTTTTTTGAGACGGAGTCTCACTCTGTCGCCCAGGCTGGAGTGCAGTGGCCGGATCTCAGCTCACTGCAAGCTCCGCCTCCCGGGTTTACGCCATTCTCCTGCCTCAGCCTCCCGAGTAGCTGGGACTACAGGCGCCCACCACCTCGCCCAGCTAGTTTTTTTATTTTTTAGTAGAGAGGGGGTTTCACCGTGTTAGCCAGGATGGTCTCGATCTCCTGACCTCATGATCCACCCATCTCGGCCTCCAAAGTGCTGGGATTACAGGCTTGAGCCACCGCGCCCGGCCGAAACACATATTTCATAAACATTTCTTGAACCATATTATATACTAGGCACTGGGAAGACAAATTGGATGTCAGGGCTAACACATTCAAATATGTATTCTTAAAGCAGATTAATCTTTAACACCCAACTGTCATGGTTTTTAACCTCTTTTAGTAGTAACCTATAACCACTGTGCTAGAGTATATTCCAGCATGACATAGGAGTTACGGGCTAGACTGGCCCGGTTTAAAACCCAGCCCCACCCTTAGCTAGTGACATTGGGGCCACTCTAGGCCATAGTTTCTCCATCTGTAGAATATATACGTAATAATAATATCTACCAATAACATCATGCTGTGTTGATTGATGATTAAATGAGTTAATACATGTAAAGCACTCAGGACAGTGCCTGGTAGGTAGTAAGTGCTATGCGTTTATCCATTATCACTCATATTATTATTAATCTCTGCTATGTTTGACCTCCAGCATTCTCTTACAGAGGCAATAAAGGATTAACTGCACAGTAGTTATTCAGGGGTTCCCAGGCACAGGAAGAGGAGAGATAAATGAATAGCCTTTCAGAGTTCAGGCTAGACCCTCTGCTTGGCACTGTCTGGCCCAGTGGGCAGGAGTAGAGAATTGGCTGCCAGGGAGCCCAAAGAGTGGGTTTCCTGCAGCTGTTCCGAGTTGAGGACTGAGAATTGGAGAGTCTGGGTGCCCTTCACTCGCCCTCATCACATTATCTATTTGACCTCATTAGAAAGTAGACGTTGGCCAGGTGCGGTGGCTCACACCTGTAATCCCAGCACTTTGGGAGGCTGAAGCAGGCGGATCACCTGAGGTCAGGAGTTTGAGACCAGCCTGACCAACATGGTGAAATCCTGTCTCTACTATAAATACAAAAATTAGCCAGGCGAGGTGGCAGGCGCCTGTGATCTCAGCTACTTGGGAGGCTGAGGCAGGAGAATCGCTTGAACCAGGGAGGCCGAGGTTGCAGTGAGCTGAGATCACACCACTGCACTCCAGCCTGAGCAAGAGGGCAAGACTCCGTCTCAAAAAAAAAAAAAAAAAAAAAAAAAAAAGAAAGAAAGTGGACATGGTAAGCTTTTCTGGGATGGCCATGTGGTCCTTCTACATCACTTCAGCGGGGCCACTGGGAGTTGCAGAGGTGTGACCCCCGACTGCAGCAGCTGTGGAGAAACAGCGTCCCACAGCGTGAAGAAAGCCCCTGACATTCTCCAGTGAGTCCCCACACAGGGAGGAGAGCAACACTCACTCACATGAAGACACACACCTGGCCGGGCACGGTGGCTCACGCCGGTAATCCCAGCACTTGGGGAGGCCAAGGCGGGTGGATCACCTGAGGTCAGGGGTTTGAAACCAGCCTGGCCAACATGGCAAAACCCTGCCTCTACTAAAAATGCAAAATTAGCCCGGCATGGTGGTGGGCATCTGTTATCCCAGCTACTTGGTAGGCTAAGGCTGGAGAATCGCTTGAACCCGGGGGGCAGAGGTTGCAGTGAGCCGAGATGGCACCACTGCACTCCAGCCTGGACGACAAGAGTGAGACTCTGTCTCAGAAGAAAAAAAAAAGTAAATTCTCTTCCAGAGTAATTTGTAATTATAATGCAATCCCAATCAAAATACCAAAGAGGGAGGGGGGATGTGGAAAGACCTTGGCAAATCCATTCGAATGTTCATCTGGAAATTAGAGAAACCCAAATGCTCAGCAGTAGGAAATTACTTAATTAGATCATCCTAATAATTAGAGCTAACATTCATGAAGCACAGTAAATGTGTTTCACGTAAACAGTTGCACTTGATCCTGAAAAAAAAAAAAACCCTATGAGAAAATTACGGGTATAATTTCGGTTTTACAGGGAGGGTAGTGGAGGTCTCTTTTGGTTCCGTAACCATCCAAAGGTCACCCATTTGATCAAAAGCAGAGCCATGGAGCATTGGCCCTGGAACTCCTGCTCTCAACCACCGTGCTGTTCATGAAGTGAATGCATATGCTTCCTAAAAGGATCATGATCAAATGTATTTGTACTGCCAAGGCAGTAAGTCTGTCGTATGTTATTGACAGGGGGAGAAAAATAGGTTACTGAACAGTTTGCAGAGTATGGTTTTATTTTTGTTTTTAGACAAAGGTAGGTAATATCTTAGGAAAGATCCAGAAAAACATGGAACAGAAGGTGACTGGTGTTTCTCTGAGAGAGGGGCTGAGGTGATGGAAGAGTTTAGCTTTCCACATGTCAATGCAGTATCCATGTTTAATTACTGGAAGGTTTTCTTTTAATTATCAGATAAAGAACCCGAGGCTCCAGGAAGTTCCATGCTAGTGGTGGTAGAGCCGAGACTCAGACGTGAGTCTGTCCTCCAAACCTGTGCTTCTTCCTCTCTCGGGATGTTTCTCCTGTTGCCGCACTTGCCCTCTGGGACTGAGCCCACAACTGCAGGCAACCACTGCGCTCGTGTTACTGATGAACGTGCACAAAGGAATGTCGTTGCTCCTCTGTCTTACCACTGAAAGCTTTTTTCTGGCCGGGCGCAGTGGCTCACGCCTGTAATCCCAGCCCTTTTGGGAGGCCGAGGCGGGCAGATCACCTGAGGTCAGGAGTTTGAGACCAACCTGACCAACATGGTGAAACCCCATCTCTACTAAAAATACAAAAGAAGTTAGCTGGGCATGGTGACGTGTGTGCCTGTAATCCCAGCTACTTGGGAGGCTGAGACAGGAGAATTGCTCGAACCCAGGAGGTAGAGGTTGCAGTGAGGTGAGATCGTGCCATTGCACTCCAGCCTGGGTGACAGGGCAAGACTTCATCTCAAAAAACAAAAACAAAAAAACCATTTTTGTCCTAGACACTTAAATGACATCCTATGGCTGATTATTGGTTTTGCCAATTTTGCAAAACATGGGGCTGAATTACAGTATCCTGGCATGTGTGCTTTCCGCAGTGTGACCTGGGTGGCCTCGTGCCTCCCGCCCCCTTATTCTGCACAATCAGAGTAGAGCCCTGTTCAGCAAAAGCACTGGACTGGGCATTCAGAGCCCCGGGCTCCAGTCCCAGCACTGCCCCGGCTCTTCGCTTCTCCACTGCAGTCCCACTTTACTTCCCTGTACAATTCAGGATGGTGAAAGCTCTCAAGTCCTTTTTTTTTTTTTTTTTTGAGATGGAGTCTCACTCTGTCGCCCAGGCTGGAGTACAATGGCATGATCTCGGCTCACTGCAATCTCCGCCTCCTGGGTTCAAGCAATTCTCTGCCTCAGCTTCCCAAGTAGCTGGGATTATAGGTGTCCACCACCACACCCGGCTAGTTTTTTGTATTTCCTGTAGAGACAGGATTTCACCATGTTGGCCAGGCTGGTTTCAAACTCCTGACCTCAAGGGATCCACCCGCCTTGGCCTCCCAAAGTGCTAAGATTACGGGCACGAGCCACTGTGCCTGGCCTTTTCTATCCTATTTTGAAAATGAACATCCCTAGAGCCATCCCCAGCAGTTGCAGGGACAGTCTGATAAGTGAACTAAGTTTCTGGGCATAAATGCCTGCCTCTGGGCCTCCTCCCTGCTCACCAGTGTGGTTTTGGCCGCAGGTGGGTGGAGACACTGACTGCCGAGGGCAGAGCCTTGCTTCGGTGCCCAGCAGCCTCCCGCCCCACGCCCGGACGCTCATCCTGGATGCCAACCCTCTCAAGGCCCTGTGGAATCACTCCCTCCAGCCTTACCCTCTCCTGGAGAGCCTCAGCCTGCACAGCTGCCACCTGGAACGCATCGGCCGCGGCGCCTTCCAGGAGCAAGGCCACCTGCGCAGCCTGGTCCTGGGGGACAACTGCCTTTCAGAGAACTACAAAGAGACGGCAGCGGCACTCCACACCCTGCCAGGCCTGCAGACGCTGGACTTGTCAGGAAACTCCCTGACGGAGGACATGGCGGCCCTCATGCTCCAGAACCTCTCCTCGCTGCAGTCCGTGTCCCTGGCGAGGAACACCATCATGCGGCTGGATGACTCGGTCTTCGAGGGCCTGGAGCGTCTCCGGGAGCTGGATTTGCAGAGGAACTACATCTTTGAGATTGAGGGAGGTGCTTTTGACGGCCTGACTGAGCTGAGACACCTCAACCTGGCCTACAACAACCTCCCCTGCATTGTGGACTTCGGGCTCACACAGCTGCGGTCTCTCAACGTCAGCTACAATGTCCTGGAGTGGTTCCTCGCGGCCGGGGGAGAGGCTGCGTTTGAGCTGGAGACGCTGGACCTGTCTCACAACCAGCTGTTGTTTTTCCCGCTGCTGCCGCAGTACAGCAAGTTGCATACCCTCCTGCTGCGTGACAACAACATGGGCTTCTACAGGGACCTGTACAACACCTCGTCGCCAAGGGAGATGGTGGCCCAGTTCCTCCTTGTGGACGGCAATGTGACCAACATCACCACCGTCAACCTCTGGGAAGAATTTTCCTCCAGCGACCTCGCAGATCTCCGCTTCCTGGACATGAGCCAGAACCAGTTCCAGTACCTGCCAGATGGCTTCCTGAGGAAAATGCCTTCCCTCTCCCACCTGAACCTCAACCAGAATTGCCTGATGACGCTTCACATTCGGGAGCACGAGCCCCCTGGAGCGCTCACCGAGCTGGACCTGAGCCACAACCAGCTGTCAGAGCTGCACCTGACTCCAGGGCTGGCCAGCTGCCTGGGCAGCCTGCGCTTGTTCAACCTGAGCTCCAACCAGCTCCTGGGCGTCCCCCCTGGCCTCTTCGCCAATGCCACGAACATCACTACACTTGACATGAGCCACAATCAGATCTCACTTTGTCCCCTGCCAGCTGCCTCGGACCGGGTGGGCCCCCCTAGCTGTGTGGATTTCAGGAATATGGCATCTTTAAGGAGCCTCTCTCTGGAGGGCTGTGGGCTGGGGGCATTGCCAGACTGCCCATTCCAAGGGACCTCCCTCACCTCCTTAGACCTCTCAAGCAACTGGGGGGTTCTGAATGGGAGCCTCGCCCCACTCCGGGACGTTGCCCCCATGTTACAGGTCCTGTCTCTCAGGAACATGGGCCTCCACTCCAACTTTATGGCGCTGGACTTCTCCGGGTTTGGGAATCTGAGGGACTTAGACCTGTCGGGAAATTGCTTGACCACCTTCCCAAGGTTTGGGGGCAGCCTGGCCCTGGAGACCCTGGATCTCCGTAGAAACTCGCTCACAGCCCTTCCCCAGAAGGCTGTGTCTGAGCAGCTCTCGAGAGGTCTGCGGACCATCTACCTCAGTCAGAATCCGTATGACTGCTGTGGGGTGGACGGCTGGAGGGCCCTGCAGCAGGGGCAGACGGTGGCCGACTGGGCCACGGTCACTTGTAACCTCTCCTCCAAGATCATCCACCTGGCGGAGCTGCCCGGGGGTGTGCCTCGGGACTGTAAGTGGGAGCGGCTGGACCTGGGCCTGCTCTACCTGGTGCTCATCCTCCCCAGCTGCCTCACCCTGCTGGTGGCCTGCACCCTCATCGTCCTCACTTTTAAGAAGCCTCTGCTTCAGGTCATCAAGAGCCGCTGCCACTGGTCCTCTGTTTACTGACCTGCCTGTGTGCCAAGACTCGAAACTTGGTCTGCACACAACAGGACATTTTCTCTTTTCCCTGCTAGCTTTCAAGATGGGATGCAGAGGCCAAGTCTGACGAATTGAAGTTTCAATTAAAATTTAAAATGTTTCCATTCCTCATCTCCACCCCCCGCCCCCCACCCAAGTTCTTTTTCCATCATTATAATTCATCCTCATTATCGTGGTAAAATATTTATTAGGTGACATTTTATAGAAATAAAAGGCAACGTGTCTCATAAATATTTTTTAAATTAAATGCAGCTTGTGTGTATTTGTTTAATGTTCCTTTGTGGTTTCCCTTGGATTATTTTTTAATGTCCTCCCCTTGGTGACCTCCACAGAGCCGAAAGGGTCGCAATTCAATGCAACCTACTGGAAAAAACTCCAAGAGTGCGTGCTGGAGATGGTGAGTCAGTGCCCTGGGGATGCAGCAAGGCAAGGATTCCATAGCACAATAACAACAACAACAACAAAGAATTTCAAACACAGCCAGAGGGTCTGACGTAAGATCGTAAGATGCGTCGGCCACTGCCGTCAGAATGGGCCTGCGATCCCAGCACTTTGGGAGGCGGAGGTGGGTGGATCATCTGAGGTCAAGAGTTTGAGACCAGCTTGGCCAATGTGGTGAAATCCCCTCTCTATTACAAATACAAAAATTAGCCGGGCGTAGTGGCCCGTGCCTGTAATCCCATCTACTCGAGAAGCTGAGACAGGAGACTTGCTTGAACCCAGGAGGCAGAGGTTGCAGTGAACCGAGATCACACCACTGCACTCCAGCCTGGGCGATGGAGCGAGACTCTGTCTCAAAAATAAATAAATAAATAATAAATAAAATAATGGACCTCTAGCTGGACCCTCACCAGGTGCCCTGGCTTCATACCCAGAGTCTCTGGCAGATAGACATGACTCTTCTGTGGAGAAACTAAGAGAGTAATAACTGGCCCCGAGTTTATCCAGTCAGTAAGCCGACTGCCAGAGACAGTCCTCGTTCTGAAGGGAAGTAACGAGGAAGCAGAAAGGAATGAATTCTGCTTGTGAACCCTCCTAACTCTTCACAAAAAATTGCTTACAACTTCTTAGCAGATGTTCAGTATCTGTATTCACTAGATTCTCAGCTTCCCTTCTCCTGCTATTCAATGACAAACAATGTTTGTGCTCCTCTCTGAGAGAAAGGAACAAAGACATGGCCCCCGTCCTTCGGTAGTTTAGAATTTACACCGTCCTCAAAGTTTTTAATCCCTGCTTACTAAATCATAAAGGAATTCAACGTAACGGGGGAGGGGTGGGGAGGGAGAGAGGCTAGAAATCCCACAAACTGCTATTACCATGCAGACTGTCCGCAGAAATGTTGAGGCAAATCAAAGAGAGGAAATCAGTGGTCTGTCTTTGACAAAGCAGAAACTTCCCGTGGATGCTCTATGGAAGTTTGAACAAGGCCGTCTCAGGCCCCACATTCAACAGCATTAGCGGCAGGTCCTGTTAGGCTTTACCCTTATTATGACCCCACCTTTCCCTCCTGCACTGCGCCCAGCCTAGTGCCGGCGATGCCTCTCAGGTTACCTTGAAGCCTTCCGGGCAAGTCCCATCAGCCAACGCAACACCAGACCAGACTCTGCTGATTTCCTCTCCCCATCAACAAAAACCTTCCCTGGGGTCCTGCTGTTTCGTGATGTGACAATTAGTTAAATTAGACAAATGTACCTACCTGTGGCTGGTGCACTCTTAAGTCAATGTGTCACCTCTTGTATCAATCAGTGTTCTTAGTCTCATGCAACTGAAGACGGTTCTGTCTGATTTCAGCAGCTTACGCATTTAGTAAGAGAATATTGGTAAGCTCTGGACTCTCGGGAAGGCTGAGGAACAGGCTTGGAAAATAGGCAGGAACAGAAGATGCCGTGTAGCCATTGGGACCAGCTTGTCTCAAACTCCTGACAGCAGCCCAAATCATGCCATAAGCAGTGACTGTGGGAGCATGGCTGCAGCCACCCCTGCCACCCGCTGCTGAAATAAACCCTCCCTAAATTCTGCTGTGTCACCAGCTCCTGACCCTGGGACATGTGCCCCTGCCTTGAGTACAAGAAGGACTGGCACAGCCATGCTGTACCTCTTGGCGAAGTGTCTATGGCAGAAGATAGGCTCCGCGTCCTCCAAATTCTCATGAGGGGGCAGAGTTCTTGAAGCCTAAGAAGGGAAGTAAGATGTTGAGCAAACAAAATGAATGAAAAGTAAGTCCCATATCCTTCTATGGCTGCATGTACATTTTATTCATTTATTTATTTGTTAGCCTGAGTCTCGCTTTGTCACCCAGGCTGGAGTGCAGTGGCAAGATCTCAGCTCACTGCAACCTCCGCCTCCCAGGTTCAAGCGATTCTCCTGCCTCAGCCTCCTGAATAGCTGGGATTACAGGCGCCCACCACCGCTCCCAGTTAATTTTTGTATTTTTAGTAGAGATGGGGTTTCACCATGTTGGCCAGGCTGGTCTTGAACTCCTGGCCTCAGGGTGATCCGCCCACCATGGCGTCCCAAAGTGTTGGTATTACAAGCGTGAGCCACCGCGCCTGGCCAGCATGTACATTTTAGCAGGCAACTTCTGGAAGGAAATTCTTAGCACAAAAAAATAACTCAAATGATGGAAACTTCAGACAGAATCTCAGGCCAGTGGGGGAGATCGTTTGGGGTTCAGCAGGCCTTTTGAAGCCCCTCAAGTCACACCATGTAGCTGACCACTCTTTCTGTTCTTAGGATCCAGCCCGGGAGGATGGCAAATTGAGCCCCAGCCTGCCTGTGACTGTGACTTTAGAAGGCTGTGGGCTTTCCTTCCTAGTGTTTTCCATCACAAGGATCCAAAGGTGATTTCCCGCTGGGCGCGGTGGCTCACGCCTATAATCCCAGCACTTTGGGAGGCTGAGGTGGGTGGATCACCTGAGGTCAGGAGTTCGAGACCAGCCTGGTCAATATGATGAAACCCCTTCTCTGCTAAAAACACAAAAATTAGCTGGGTGTGGTGGCGAGTGCCTGTAATCCCAGCTACTTGGGAGTCTGAGGCAGGAGAATCACTTGAACCTGGGAGGCGGAGGTTGCAGTGAGCCGAGATGGTGCCACTGCAGTTCAGCCAGGTCGACAAGACGAAATTCTGTCTCAAAAAAAAAAAAAAAAAAAAGGATGATTTTCTAGGTTTCTCTCAGTATGTGGAAAGTTACATAGGGAAGGTGCTTTCTGCCTTCAGTCCTCAGCCATGGTTCCCCCAGCAAATTCTGTCCCCTTTCCCTGCTTCTCCCACTCCAACCTGGACCCACAGGACAGTGTACTGGCAAGGGAAGGACCCACAAAGCCTGCTACCAGCGTTCTCCGGTGGGGCCAGAATGGTGGTCTGCGTAAGAGCTCCCATTCAGCCAGGTGGGGCACCACATGGTTCTTCCTCAGTGGGTGGGAAGTAGGGGGCCATCCCCAATTGCCACATGCCAGAATATTCAGACAGGAGAATATTCAGAATCACAGATAAATCATGTCAGAGACTGGTCTGTGAACATGAGTAACAGTAACTTAGATTTTGGAAATCCAGTCATAAAACAAAAGCTGAAGGTTTTTCTAGAGGCATTTAAGTTAGGGATCAATTTCAATTGATTCTTTCTTTCCTTCCTTCCTTCCTTCCTTCCCTCCTTCCTTCCTTCCCTCCCTCCTTCCTTCCTTCCTTCCTTCCCTCCTTCCTTCCCTCCTTCCTTCCTTCCTTCCTTCCTTCC